ACATGTGATAAATGTCATACATGTTAATAAATGTCACACATGTTGATAAATGTCACACATGTTGATAAATGTCACACATGTTGATAAATGTCATACATGTGATAAATGTCACACATGTTGATAAATGTCATACAATTACAATACAATACACAATACAATTTATTCTTGTATAGCCCTAGGTCACAACAGAAGTCATCTCAGAGACTTAACAAAACCATTGAAATCACCAACACAGGTCAGAGAATCAACAGTTAAAACACATGAAGAATATAAAGCACACACAGAAGAAAATGTCCATACATGTTGTAGAATGCTAAAGTGTCCTGATCATCACCAATCCTTTCTGTTGGACACTAACTGTCCAACAAGACCCTCCTGCATCGACAAGGAACAACTCTTAAAAAACCCAGTGGGAAAAAGTGAGAAACCTTGGGGAGAACTAGGGAAACCCACAGGGAGGGAGACCCATATGAGAAAGGGATCCGCTCCTCCGGACGGACAGACTAATGATCTAGGACCTAAGCTAGCTACAGAACGTGGACCAGTGGACGCTGAACGTGGACAGGTCCGGTGCAGGACTGAAGCACTCCCAGGCGGGTCGGCGGGGCAGTCCGCAGGTGTAGATGGAAGAGGCCAGGCTCAGAGATCCCGTCATCGTACCATGAAACAGACAATGGGACAACGGGTGAATAGCAATGAACAAACTACAGTCAGAATCCTAAAAATGCTAAACAGATAAAGTAGGAAGGAGGAGAGGATAGTGCTCAAGTTACCATACTTCTCCAGCAGGGGGCTCCCTATGCAGCTTGACTGACACTCTGAGGAGTTTAACCTTCCCAGAGTCTTACCTTCCTAGCCATATGCTAAACTAAAGAGGACTGTTCTAAACCTAGCCTTGAATAAAGAATAACATACAGCATAATATATAACATAATATACAACATAACACAATACATTATTGAATAATATATAACATAATATATAACATAATACAGCATATATATATAATATATACACTACATATTATATATTACCTAATTATATGCTAAATTAAAGTAAAGTGCTTTAAGCCTGGCCTTGAATGTGGAGACCGTATCTGCTTCCTTAACATAAATGGGAAGCTGATTCCACAGTAAAGGAGCTTGGTAGCTAAATGCTCTGCCACCAACAGTGACCTTTGAGACCTTAGGGACCACCAGACGTCTGGCGTTTTGTGAGCGCAACGCTCGACTTGGTTGATACGACACTAACGTGTCTTGGAGATAAGAAGGAGCCAAGCCATTTATGGCTTTATATGTTAAGAGTAGGATTTTAAACTTTATTCTGTACTCCACAGGAGCCAGTGGAGTGATTTTAACACCGGAGTTATGTGCTCCCTCCTTTTGGTACCTGTTAAGATCCTAGCTGCTGTATTCTGAACGAGCTGGAAGCTCTTCAAAGAGGCTTTAGGGCACGCTGCCAGTAAAGCGTTACAGTAGTCAAGCCTTGAGGTGACAAACGCGTGAATGAGTTTTTCCGCGTCACTTTTAGGAAGGAAATTCCTAATTTTAGCGATGTTCCGTAAGTGGAAGTACGCCGTTTTAGTTGCTTGGCTTATATAAGCCTTGAAGGAGAGTTCTTGGTCAAAAATGACTCCAAGATTCCTCACAGTGTTACTGGGTATTATACTGACATTATATGTCAGTATAATACCCAGTATAATACACATGTATATATTATACATGTGATAAATGTCACACATGTTGATAAATGTCACACATGTTGATAAATGTTACACATGTTGATAAATGTCACACATGTTGATAAATGTCACACATGTTGATAAATGTCATACATGTGATAAATGTCACACGTTGATAAATGTCATACATGTGATATATGTTACACGTTATAAATGTCACACATGTTGATAAATGTCACACATGTTGATAAATGTCATACATGTGATAAATGTCACACATGTGATAAATGTCACACATGTTGATAAATGTCATACATGTGATAAATGTCACACATGTGATAAATGTCACACATGTGATAAATGTCACACGTGATAAATGTCACACATGTTGATAAATGTCACACATGTTGATAAATGTCATACATGTGATAAATGTCACACATGTGATAAATGTCACACATGTGATAAATGTCACACATGTGATAAATGTCACACGTGATAAATGTCATACATGTGATAAATGTCACACATGTTGATAAATGTCACACATGTTGATAAATGTCATACATGTGATAAATGTCATACATGTGATAAATGTCATACATGTGATAAATGTCACACATGTGATAAATGTCACACATGTGATAAATGTCACACATGTGATAAATGTCACACGTGATACATGTCACACATGTGATAAATGTCACACATGTTGATAAATGTCATACATGTGATAAATGTCATACATGTTGATACATGTCACACATGTTGATGAATGTCACACATGTTGATAAATGTCACACATGTTGATAAATGTCA